TTTATTTTATTTTTATGCGGAGCTGAAAATCCAACCCAGTGCCTCACACATGCCAGGTGAGTGTGCTCCACTTGAGCCCCATCCCCAGCCCTTAAACGCTTATCTATCTTGATGATAGGGGGTTGTGGGCTGAGACCCCTTAAACTCTGTGCTCAAAGCGAGGGCTTTGCCGACTCCCCTAACCCTGTCCAGCTGGCTCTTCCTGGCCTTTGAGAATACACCAGATGCCTGGCCCCAGCAGGGACGGGATGTGCTCAACAAACCAAGGGGTGACCCGGGCCAGGAGCCCTGCTGCACACTGGCGCTGGGTACTCTCAAAAATGACCCCTCCTGCCCCAGGTGCAGCTGGGCTCCCCAGTTCTTGCCACAGTCTGGCTGGGCACAAATGCCGCAGTCTGGCTGGGCACACAATCACGAGCCACCACACAGCTTGTAGATTCAAACAGCAACTCTTTATTCCCGAACTCACACCAGCCGTCTACAAACACGTTCTGGGGAAATCCACGTTCTCTGCCCAAATCCACCTCCACTGGGCTTCTATCTCCAAAATATACTGTCTGAATCCCGTGAGAACTCAAGGGGAACTCAGGCAGCAGGATACGCCCTATTCCCAGCAGGAATAATCTTAAACCTTAAACCTGGAACCTAAACTGGGAACGCCCTAAACAAGATTATCTTAAAACCGGGAACACCCTAATCTGCCTTGGTCCTTGAGCAAGGTTAAGTACATTCAATGTCACTGCAACATGGGGTACGCTGGCAAGGAAATTGTCATACTTACTTGGCTAATGGCTCCCAGCATCTCCCCCCTTCTGATTAATTAAACAACAAGCAATGTGGCTTAAGGACCGTGCCTGGTAGGTTGTCCAATTCAACATATGGTTCTTACCCGTCATCGGAAAACTGACCTTTAGGCGTCAGCCTCCTGTCTTAGGTTGATACCACTGCAATTGAATCATACCCGTCACTGACTACCGGTCCAGCATACAGCCATACTTGTGGATAGGTCTATGCACCAGTGGGGGGGTGAGGTTCTTTGCCTCACCTCTGTTGGCCCCCAAATTTGGCCTTGGTGCCAGTGGGGGAGTGAGGTTAATGTGGCTTATGGACCGTGCCTGGTAGGTTGTCCAATTCAACATATGGTTCTTACCCGTCATTGGAAAACTGACCTTTAGGCGTCAGCCTCCTGTCTTAGGTTGATACCACTGCAATTGGATCATACCCGTCACTGACTACCGGTCCAGCATAAGCCATTGGCCCCCAAATTTTAGACCATCACTAGCAGAAGGGAGGAGGATACAGAAATGCCACGACACCAAGCCAATTGACGGCTCCTTGGGAAAAATTGCATCACTGGTGACACCATCAGCAAAGATATGTCAGCACTACCACAATTAACATGGGGTGTGCTGGCAAGGAAATAAAAATTGCATCACTAGTTAATCACTGTCACAGATGTAAGAATGGCCAAGCTGGAGCTCTGGATATCAGCTGTTATGGATTTGAGTCAAATCATCTTCTTCTCGATCTGTAGAAATTGTTTTAGTTAATCTCTCTGGAATCCAAATCTGCTGCTGTTCTCCCTGTGGAAACACACAAACAAAACCCCGACTCCAGACAATCACTGGGTCAGGACCTTTCCATTGTCCTGTTAGAATATCTTTCCAAAGTACCTTAGACTTATGTACATTTTTTGGATACATATGCCTTTCTGCAGCACTAAGTCCTGATGAATCTAAATTTTTAAAAGTTTAGTGTAAAAAGCGTTATTTTAAGTTTATCTTTGGGGGATATATACCCCTTTCAAATTCCCTCTTTTTGCTTTAATAAGTACATGTCTGTATCTAATAGTTGTCTTAGCCTTTTGCATTTTCTATCTGAAATACCTTTACTATCTTCTAGTTTTGTTTTTTTTTTTTTTTTAAGGTTTGTATATTTACCCTTAGTTGCTTATTTTCCTCCTAGTTTTTTTTTTGTTTGTTTGTTTTCTATTTTGTGGGTTTAAAATTATTGTCTTCCTACATCTTTTCTATCTTCCTATATCTTTTTTATCTTTTTTTTTTAACTTTCTATACTTCTGTCTTTAAAGTTTTTCACTTTAAATTTTTAATCTTCTTTATCTAAATATCTTTTATCCTATTATCTTCCCATTTTTTTTTTGTAATGCCTTTAAGATTAACTAGGCTTCGAATGATGCAATAAAGCAATCTTTTTTCCGCCATGAAGGTATCTCGACCACCTTCAATTTAACCTTTTAATTATCATCTATACTGTACTTTTAAATGTACTTTTTCACCACCTACAACTTCACTCTTTTAAACGAGGCTTAGATTTTGTTTAAATCGCTTCAATGTTAGTTTACATGGCTGCCTTTCAACCAAAGGCTTTTTTTTTTTTAACTCCATTGAGAATCTTTGTCTCAATCTGCCATGTACAAATATCTTTTTCTTCTTTCTTCCTTTCTCAAGCTTTTAAAGTAAGTCTAGTTTCCTCAAAATCTTTTTAAATGGCATTTTATAACTTTTACTTTACCACATAGAGATTATCTCATCTAGAAACATTTCTTTTTCCTTTAACCTTTTGTATTAAAATATATTTCCACATCTTGAATCTTTTTCTCTCTTTTTTAACCGTTAACGCTTTTTATAAATTCACATTTTGAAACAACTCTTATAAAATTTCTGATTTAGACAAATTACTCCACTTTAATAAGATGAAAGACTTTCATGTTTTTTTATGATACTATAATACTATAATTGAAACCTAACTGAAAATTTTTCTACTCTTTGTATATAAATTACACATGATAGAATCTTAACACTTAGTAACCTTGTTTTAGCAAAGACACAGACCAAAGCAATATTAAACATTTTTCCATTTACCAATTTATGAAAACACACATGCTTAAATATATTACCTTATGTAACTTAATAAGTAAAGAGTGGTTGATGTTTCAACATTTTAGCTTTGTAAATTAATCAGAACTTTGTAGAAACCAAGATCTTAGACAAGTGTAGCAAACAGAACTAGCCATCTCTTTCTTGTTGAAGAAAAATCCTTCTACAGGATACCATGGTGGTCCCATTGATATACTTAATAACTCGTCTTTAAAAAGCCATGGGCTACATTTTTGTATTGTATCAACATATGCCCTAATTGTTCTTGGTCTCACTGGGGCGCCTCCTTCCTCTAACAATTTATCTTGCTCGGAGGCGAACAACTTCAAACCTTGAGTCAACCATTTTCCCCAGTTTGCCTGAGAAAGTTCTAGGAACAGGCAACTTGAAATAAAAACAAAATAAATCAAAACAATAACACATTGTTTTTTGAAATGTTCACCCATTCTTTCTCTCTTCCTCAAGGGTGAGAAATTTCACTTACCTCTAAGCTTCAGAAGTTCCCCACACGGGACGCCAAATGCCACAGTCTGGCTGGGCACAAATGCCGCAGTCTGGCTGGGCACACAATCACGAGCCACCACACAGCTTGTAGATTCAAACAGCAACTCTTTATTCCCGAACTCACACCAGCCGTCTACAATCACGTTCTGGGGAAATCCACGTTCTCTGCCCAAATCCACCTCCACTGGGCTTCTATCTCCAAAATATACTGTCTGAATCCCGTGAGAACTCAAGGGGAACTCAGGCAGCAGGATACGCCCTATTCCCAGCAGGAATAATCTTAAACCTTAAACCTGGAACCTAAACTGGGAACGCCCTAAACAAGATTATCTTAAAACCGGGAACACCCTAATCTGCCTTGGTCCTTGAGCAAGGTTAAGTACATTCAATGTCACTGCAACATGGGGTACGCTGGCAAGGAAATTGTCATACTTACTTGGCTAATGGCTCCCAGCAAGTTCTGACCCTACAGCTGTGCCACCACCCACCTTCCCTGTCCCCGGGGACCCGGAAAGCTGGACTTCAGCCACAAAGTCGTGTGGTGCAGATGGGGAGATGAGGACCTGCGAGTTCCTCACTTCTAAGTGGGGCCCTGGCTGGGCCTGGGGCCCGGTGTGGAGCGGTGCTCAGCTTGGCAAGGCCCAGGCTCCACTCCCAGCACCACACACTAAGAATTAAGGGATAGAACCTCATTGCTTTCCTGCTGTCCCCAACGGACTGCAGTGAGCTCGTGGCCATTGTGAGGCCCCTCAGGAAACACCAAATGTCATCTGATGGCCCAGTGTCCTCTGCATGACACCCTGACTCTTGGTCCCCAGCCCTGCATGACCTCTCTGGCTTCCCTGGCAACCACCCTCCCCTTCCTCTTCTCCAGGCACTGTGGCCTCAGAGGCTCCTGCCCTAGGGCCTTTGCATGTGCTGCCCCCTACCTGATGCTCCAACCCTGCTGAGCCGCTGCCACCCTGCCTTCCCAGTCCAGCCCGGAAACTCACGCCCACGGCAGTCTTGCAGAGCAGTATGTCTTTGTCGTGTGCAGCCCACATCTTGAATGACCAGCCAGTTCTCTGTGGGGGCCCTCTCCCCCAGAGGTGAGGAGCTCTGAGAGGGCAGGGACCCCGGAGTTTGTGTCTAGGGCAGGGCCAGGGCACAGTGGTGCCTGTCACCTACTGGATGAAGGGACGGAGGAGCACAGCTCTCCTGTTCTCTCTTGTTCTGTCCCTGAACAAGACCCTCTGGTCTGGGTGGGGCCTGAGGGCTGGGGACAGGAGGGAGCCCTGCCGGGTGCCCTCCATGCCCACCGTGAACCTGCCCCTTTCCACCATGTGCCCTGCAGGGAAATCATCCAAGGTCACAGAAAGCCTGGGGGCCCCAGGCTAATGGTGCAGAGTGAAGGGGGAAACCGAGGCCCTGGGAGGAGTCACGCGAGGCTAGCATGGAGCAGTGTCCAGTCACAGCCCTGCTCCAGGCTCCTGCTGGTCAGCTGCTCACCGGCCCACCTGCCCACCCCCGCAGAGCCCTCCTCCTCCATGCCCCATGGCCCCCATGCATCACCTCCCCCCCCAACACTCCCACCTGGAAGAAGGCGCAGGAGCCGCGGGAGAACACAGGATCCACTTCTTTATTGCAGGAAGACTATGTCTATATGAGCGAGTGCTACACAGACCCCCCAGGGGGCAGGGTTCCCACATGCGGGGGGAGGGGCAGGGTCACAGCGAGCATGGCCTGGCAGGTCCCCAGCACCAGGATGCCCGGGCAGGGCGGGCGGCAGTCAGGGCGGCTCGGCCCCTCCTATTGCAGAGTCCCTCTCCCCAGGGGGGGCAGGGCCCAGGGCCGGAGAGGCCTGGGGACAGGCGGGCAGGCCCCAGGGAGATTGTGCTATCAGGGCATGTCCCTGAGAAAGGGCTGAGACCCCTGTCCAGCCAGGGGCCATGGTGACACCAGCTGCTGGGGGCCCTGGGCCAGCTGAAGGGTCAGAGCTCAGCTATGCTCAGACAATACCACTGACTGGGGGCAGGGGAGCCCTGTCACACCCGCAGCCTCGCACGCCCAGGTACACACACTCACACCTCTCCAAGTGTGCCAGGAACCACTCAGGAGCCACAGGAACACAGAGGAAAGCAATCACCTCAACACTGTCAGCCACAGAGCGGCCTCGCTGCATCCTGCGCCCCTGCTGGGGCCGCATAGCCACATGCGACACCCTCCCGTCCCGCACATGCACACACAGTCTCCCACCCCAACCCGCGGTGCGTCCGCCTTGGGCGACCACTCTCTCCCTCGCACGCTTAGCTGCCACATCTCAAGCCCCTCAGCACGGAATGCTGCACATCCCCCACGGGGCCCGCAGATGACCCCAGCCCAGCCAACACTGGGAGCGCGGCCTTGTGAGGCCCTGAGTGGGATCTGGCTCCCCCCACCCGGGGCTGACCCCGGGAACTGTGAGGTGGTGGCGTGCTGAGCTCCAGGTGGCTGCACTAGTGCTGGCTTGCTGCGCAGCGCCAGCTGGGGTCCAGTTTGTCCTGCAGCCACAAGTCAACTTGCCACAGACTAGAGTGGACACAGTGACCCTCAGAGAGTCAGAATACACAGGTTCACAGATAGACCACGTCGTGCACTCCCAAGACAACTGTGCCCATACAGGCAGCTCGATTCACGCAGACACCCCTCAGCCAGCCCCACACACGGGCACCGACCACGCCACACGCACTACACCTTTGCTTCATGCCGGCTGCAGACACGCCGTCTGAATGACAGACGCACAGGCACAACCACCCATGCACCCTTCCATAGTGTCCTTCGCGAAGGACACAGCCCCAGGGGGGTCACGTGAGTGGAGTTGCCCAGACTGTCTCACAAAGACACCCCGAACCTTGAGGCTGCAGGTACACCAGACTTGGGCAACACTTCCTGGGGCTCTGTCACTGGGCACAGTGGGTGGAGGAGGGGACAGGGCAGCATTCCACCTGGAGCCCCCTCCAGTCCTGCTGGTGTGGAGTGCCATCGCCTCCTCTGGACGGGGCCTTAGCTGACGTGCTCCTGGCCGGGCCCCGGCACCCTGTGCTCAGTGCCCAGGGCCCAGCACCACCACACCAGCATCTGTGCCTCAAAGGAAGGGCACATCCCCAGGGCACAGTGTCCAGGGAAACCTTCGCACTCCAGGCCCCAGGGTCCACCTGCCCCTTGGGCAGTCCTGGCTGGACAGTCCCAGGGGTGGTGCTGTGGCTGTCTGCTGGTCCCGGGGTGCTACTGGGGCTGGCAGGGGTGCCCCTACAGGCCCCATGGTTATTGCCTGGTGGCCTGAGGCCCATCCCATGGGCCCCTCCACCAAGGTGAGTGGACAGGGACAGGATGGGTGTTCCAGGGGCCCAGGGAGGGGGCACAGGTCAGAGGTCATGAGGGTCTGGGCGAGACTGGCTGCATGTCGAACACCAAGAAGAGAAAAACAAAACCCTCTGAGGTCCATGTGCACTTGGACGCCCCTCCCCCGGAAGGTCACAGTGATCAAAGGGGGGGAGGGGCGCGGATCGGGCTGGGGACACTCAGGGTGGGGGACAGAGATGGGTCCTGGGCTGCGGTGGAGGAGAGATGGCCTCTCTGGTCCCCGCTGGGACACGCAGCTCCCCTGGCTCCCTGCTTCCCCCCCCACCGTGGGTCGAGGGGCCGCTGGGCTGTGGGGGCCCAGACAGGGCAGGGGGGCGGGTGGGGAAGGCGGGCATAGCGATGTGAGGGGCCGGGGGAGCCCAGCCCTGCCGCCCGCTGGCCAGGCAGCCTCGGTTTCCCCAGCCGAGAGGCGGACGGGAGAGTGGAGGAGCAGGAGGAGGCGCGGGCGGAGGCGGCGGGGCGGGCGGCGGGGCGGCGGCTCACATGAGGGTGCACTTGCCCTTGATGCGGTCTGTCCGCTTCTGCTTGCTGGAGCGCTTGCCGTCGATGCTCAGGCTCATGCTGCGGCGGGTCTCCAGCGTCAGCAGCTCCTGGAAGAGCTCCTTGACGTTGTGGTTCATCTTGGCCGACGTCTCCATGAAGGCGCACTTCCACTGCTGCGCCAGGGCCTGGGCCTCGCGGGTGTCCACCTCCCGCTGCGTCTCGTCACACTTGTTCCCCACCAGCATGACGGGGATGTCCTCCACGCTGCCCTTGATCTGCACGATGAGCTGGTAGATGGGCCCCAGCTCCTCCAGCGACTGCTTGCTGGTGACCGAGAAGACCAGGATGAAGGCGTGGCCCTTGGAGATGGACAGGCGCTGCATGGCCGGGAACTGGTGGCTGCCGGTGGTGTCCGTGATCTGCAGCGTGCAGACGCTCTTGTCACAGCTGATCACCTGCCGGTAGGTGTCCTCGATGGTGGGGATGTACGTGTCACGGAACGTGCCCTTCACGAAGCGCAGCACCAGTGAGCTCTTGCCCACACCGCCCGCGCCGAACACCACCACGCGGTAGTCGTTGCTTTGCTCGGGCATCTTCCCCCTGCCGCGTGAGGGACGGGGCGGCTGCTAGAAGCCCAGACCGACCCTGTGTGGAGAGGACAGTCAGACAGAAGGCCACCCAGCCCAGAGGGTCGTCAGCTTCTGGCCCTGAGGACAGGCGGGGAGGCTTCTCCGAGGAAGGGGCGCTTGCCGCCTCATGGAGGCCCGCTGCCGACTGCAGTTCTGCCCCACACGAGGGCACCAGGGCTCACCGCCAGCTCCTCGACTTGCTTCTGCCTCCCCAAACCCGGGGCCTAAGCCTCCCCAAGGGGCCTCTGAGGGGCAGAGATGAGGCCCGGGCTCCCTCTCTGCTGTAGGCTGTCCCCACGCTGTGACCTCCTGGCAGCCAGCTGACCCGGCTCCTCTGCTGCTCTGACACCTAGACCAGCCCTCTCACCACCCCGACCCTCTGTGTCCTCCTGCTCTGAACCCAGAGGGCAAAACACTGCATCCCAGCAACCATAGCTCCCTGCTAGGAGCCTGGCGCATCCTAGACCCCAGGGGCCGTGCCATAGTTTAAAGTGAGCATTTCAGGGCCTTGGCCCCAGAAATGATGAATCAGTTGGCCCTGGGAACTGCTTCCCCACCAACAATGTGCCCTGACACAGCGGGTCCAAGACCACAATTTGCAGATCATGATGCCGACTCCCTAAAGCAGCCCCTACCTCTGCACGGTAGGAGCTCACAGCCAAGAAGTGGATAACAATGCTAAAGGTCAGACTAAATAGGAAACGCCCTACCCCGCATGGTGGCCACACCTGTCCCCCCAGCAACCCAGGAGGCCAGAGCAGGAAGATTGAAAGTTTAAGGACAGCTTGGGTGACTTCGTGAGGCCCTGTCTCAAAATAAAAAAAAAAATGTAAAAGGGCTGGGGACAGGACGTAGCTCAGTGGTAGAGCACTCTGGGTTCAAGCCCCAGTACCACAAAACAAAGCACAACAAGAACCATCCCTCCCAACCCTCCCGCTTTCTAAACTGCATCCTCTGGTGATCTGGCCTGATGTGTCCTTAGGAGTACAGCTCCCTGGGAGGGCTCCTTTCATCTTTCTCCTCTCCCAGGCACAGAGGGGCCAGTGGCCTCTGGAGGTCACAGCACACCACCCTTGGAGAGCTGGAGGAGGGGAAGAGTCGTGGGCAGGGGACAGCAGGTGGGAGGCCCGTCTCCAGAATCTATGTCCTCACGCACACAAAACAGGAGCGGCCTCCTCTTCCTCCCCACTGCCCTGAGTGTCCTCGGCATGGGGAGGGCCATCTGCGCCTCCTGGCTCTACGTCCCTGTACTTTGGGCAGGTCCTTTCCCTCAGGCCTGTGTGTCTGCAGGGGAGGGCGGCTTGAGAGTGGCCCCAGAACCAGGCGAGGTCTGGGGGTGTGGACCAGGACAGGCAGATCATGTCCCTGGCCTCTGTCTCCACGGGGACGCTGGGCCAGTGGGTGATACGGTGGAAAAGGCCCTGGGGCAGGTGCCTGGCATGGGGCAGTCCCCACACAGATGGAGGCACGGTTCTCACAGCAGTCCCAGGGCTCTGGGGACGCACTGGGCTGGACCAATGGGCCTGGAGCATGCTCTGAATTCTCAGAGGTACCAGCTTTGTCAGGAAAAACAAAACAAAGCGATAATGAAAGCCACAGCCAACACGGAGCCCAGTTCCCTGTCCGAAAACTTGGGGAGCTGCAGAGGACCAGCTGGGCCTGACAGGAGGTCTGTGATTCCACGCACAGTGAATCTCAGCATTAGGAGCAGGAAGGGGGCTGACGGCCTGGGTGCCAGCAGCTCTGCAGAGGTGGCCCCTTCATGGTGGGCAAAGGAAGCAGGCACACTGGTGGACAGCCCCGTGCTGCTGCTGCTGACCCAAGGACCTGGGGTCTGTGCTGGTGGTGGGGTTCCGCAGCCCCAGATGCAGCCCCTGTCTTGCTTTGGGTGCCCTCCTCAGCAGTGGTCTCTCCAGAGGGGCCCTTTTGGGACTGGAATCCCGTGACTAGGACACCCTCACATCCAATGATCCTTGAGTCCATGCCAACTGACCACCTGGTGCAGTCTGAATCCCATCCCCACCTCCTATTTGGGGAGTGGGTCCTGGGCATGGAGCTTGGGTGGGGGAGGGACTGGCTCAAGGTCACAGAGCAAGAGGAGGCAAAGCAGAGAGGCCTGGCTGTACTGCCCTGGGGTCCTCACATGTGCAAGGCAGCCCACCCGGAGATGCCCAGGCCACAGCTCTGGGTCGTGGAGCCAGGGCCAGGCCCTGGGACACTGAGGGAACTGCTATTCAAGAAGGCCCACGGAACCCTGGCCTGGGGCGGGTCTCGGGGGATGCTCACCAATGTGGGGGGGTGACCTCGGGGCACCTGACCAGGGAGAGGTTTGATCGAGATGGGACCTGCTCTCCGGACCCTGAGTAGAGGGAAGCACAATGGGGGGCAGCCCAGAGGCTCCCTCAACTCGAGAAGGACCTGGTGGAAGAGGGGTCCTGAGTGAGGGGCTTGGTTGGGCAGGCTGGGAGCCCGGTGGGCCAGCGTGGGGGACGCCTATGGCCCACAGACGGCTCCGAGGGCGCCCTGGCGAGGGGCTCGGAGCGGTGGTCCCCTTGGGGCGGAGGTGGCAGCTGTCCTCGGTGGGCGAGGAGCGAGCGCCCGGCGGGCTGCAGGGCCAGGGACCGCCCGGAGGCCCGCGAGGGTGGGGCCGGGACAAAGGGGCGCGCGGGAGCCGGGCGCCGCGGCCGGCCGGGTGGGGCCGGGACCCCCTCCGCCGCGCCCCGCCGCCTACCTGGGCCGCTGGTCCCTGCGGCGCCGCGGCCGCTGCTGCTCCGGCTCGTGTCCGCGCCGCGCCGCCCCCCGCCCGCCCGAGCCGCCGCCGCCGCAGTCGCGTCCGCGCTGTCCCCGCCCGCAGGGCCGCGCTCCGCTCCGCCCCGCCCGCCCCGCCCGCGCGCCTGGGACCCGCGCTGGCCGCCAAGGTCACCGCCGCCCCCGCGCCAGCCTCGCCCTCCCCGACCCCTGCACCCGGGCACGCGGGTCCTGCTCCCCCAGCTCCGAGCGGGCGCCCGTGCGCCCAGGATGCGCGGGAGCCGGGAGCCGGAGGGGCAAGGGGCTGGGGCGGAGCCACGGGTAGGGCTGGCGGGTCCTGGTCGAGCTCACCCCGACTGCAAGGGACGCCTGGCGGAATGAACACACGGATCAATCAGGTGGAGAGGCCGAGGGGCCGGCCTCGGGTCAGCGGGTACCTTGCCCAGGCTGTCTGTGTCCCCGACGCGCCGGGGTCGTGCGACGGTGGGCCCGACCGGGACACAGTGCGGCCCGGCAGCGGGTTCGCCTTTTCTGCTGGGGAGGCGCTTGTCTTCCCCACAATGTCCGAGAACAAACCTTGGTGCATGTGCCTGAGGTGTCCCTGTGAGTGCAGTGAAGCACAGCAGACGCTCTTCTCGACCCCACCTGGCAGATCCTGGAGGAGGCTGGACATTGGGGTCCAGGGAGCACACTGCAGGGTCCCCTGGGGGCAGGTGTGCCACAGCCCCAGGCCCAACATGCTGGAGGAAGGTGCCCCTCATTGGGAGGTCAGCCCTTGGGGCCTACAGGAGGGGCTTTTGTAGGCTGGTCTGGAAGGTGTAAGCTGGTGCTGGGAGCCAGGCGCCCTCAAGCCCTCAGCTCCCTGGTTGTTACTGACCCGTCACTTCCAGGCCCTAGCTGAGGTGGGCCCCTGCTGCTCCCTTGGAGACCCAGCACTGCCTCCAGGACCACCGCCTCCTCTCCTGCCAGGCAGGACTCAGCAGGAGGGCTCAGGGGCATCTCTCCCTGACTTCAGTCCTGTCCTCCCATCCCAGCCTCCCTCTGCCTCCTGGGTCAAGGTGCAGCCTCCTGGTCTGAGGCTCAGGTTCCTTTCCATCCTGCTCTTGCTGGCCCTGCGGGGTGCCTTACAGGGTGGCCTGGCCTTCATTTCAGGGTGTGCTCAACCCTGCCCAGCCAGGCTCCCTGGGCGGCAGACTCCTGCCCCTCAGGGCTGCTGGGAACAGCCAAGTGCAGACAGGCTCAGGATGGGCGCCCTGCTCCCTCCACCTTGACACCCGCTGGTCTCTGCCAGTCTCCTGAATGACTGGAGGGCCCTGGGCGGGGTCTGGCCAGCTCTCCAGCTCTCCCAGGCTGGGGCAGGCTGACTCATGGTAGGAGAGTGGGCACCGCGCAGCGTGCCAGGCTCTGCTGCTATTTATAGATCCCAGGCCAGGCTCTGGCCTTGTGAGCCAGGGACTTCAGGTCCCTCCTTGCTCTCCCTGGGACATGGGAGCACCCCACAAGGGTGGCAGTGCTGCCTCTCCCATGGCTGGCCAAGGAGATGGGCACTGTCAAGTCTGCCCCTCCTTGGGAGCTGTGACCTCCTACTACTGGAGAGAGCAGACCCCGGGAGGCAGAGCAAGCCAAGGCAGCACCCCTTCCTGGCACTCCCTCCCTGGAGTCCCTGGGCTCCCCGGGTGCTGACTGCTTCTGGACAGGGAGAGGACATCCCAGCTCTAGCTAGCCCCTCCAGCTCCCCAGTCAGACAGGGTCCCCACTCATCCATGCTGACAGCTCCCAGTGCATCCAGCTCCCAGGGCTCAGAGAAGGGCAGCAACTGGCCCAAGGTGGCTCAGCAAGGAAGAGGCAGGACCTGGACTGGAACTTGGTTCCAACAGGATCTGAACAGCGCAGGCGGCTGGGTCTGGGGGCTGTTCTTGATGCCCCTCCTTCCAGCCCCTGGCCGTCTGGGGCCCAGCCCAGGGACCTTTAGTGGGTCTTGTCTTACAGATCCTCCTCCCACCCAAGTGCCAGGGCAAAGTCCCAGCTCCTCACCTGGCCTGGCCACCCCAGGGACCCGATCTCACCCCAGTCCCCTGGCCAGGGCCACGCCAGGCCTGGGCATCCCCAGGCTGGCCTGGGCAGGAGGGCAGCTGGCTTCACTCTGCATTCTCTAGGGACTGATACCACCTGCAGGTGAGCAGAGGCTGCCTGCCACGGCCTCAGGCGCTGGGGTCTGGCCCACAGGGCTTTTGGTTGACATTAAGTTTGCATCAATATTTTAAAACAAGGAGGTCATTGGTCAAAACGCAGCTTGTCTTCCAAAACAAATGGGCTGCCATCTCTAAGCCCGTTTCTGCCCGTCAGTATCTGTGGCTCCCCAGGACCACAGCCCAGCACGGAGGACACGCGCCTCCCCCGAGCTCCTGCCCGGCCCCACAGGTGGCCTGGACGCTCCTGAGGGATGGGGGCTCCTCACCATCACCTTGGAGGAGGGGAGCCGATGAAGCCTCCCTGTGGCAGGAAAGCGCCGGAACACCTGAGCTCTTCGCACAGCAGCCAGGCACAGGAGCTGCCCCGGGGCCTTTGGACTGACTGCTCTTCCGCTGGTGCCTCTCAGGTGTCACCTGGCCCCTGGGTGGAAGGTCCCTGTCCCTTTGCCATCTCTCCTCAGGGCCCTCTTGCTACTGGATGTGGCACTGTGTTGGTGCCACACCCCTCTCTAGAATGTGATGGCCTTGGACCTGGGCTGGCTCTCACCAGGGTCCTTTCTGACCCCCAGCACTCTGCCGTGCCAGGAGCCAAGTGGAGGGCCTGGAGCAGGGGCACAGGTCACACTGCCCCAGCCCAGCCCAGAGCCAGGAGTGCTGCTGGCACCCATGACACCCGCCGGCCCCAAGGTCCCCAGTGCCAAGGGGACAGTCCCTGTTCTAGGGCCCATCTCATCGGGCCAGTCTGGTGGGCCTGACGGAGCTGGGACGAGCCCAGTGGGTCCTTCCAGAGAGGGGCCCCCCACCTAGTCACATCCCTTAAGGAGGAAGCAGAGCAGGCGGCTGCCACTGTGCCCCAGGGCGGCAGGGCCGTGTTGCCTCCCACAGCCGGTCGGCCCTACGGTGGTCACTTTGCCCTTGGCAGAGGTCAGCCGTGTCCCTATCTTGAGGAGCTACAGGTGCAGCTTTCAGAGCCTGGGAGGGGGCAGGACGGAGCCGGAGAGGTGTGACGCGTCCAGGCCCCCGCGCCCGGCAGCAGCCATCCCGAGGGGACCCTCCGGTGCTCTCAGGAGCCTGGGCCCCTGCCTGCTGCTCAGGAGGGGCTGGGATGGCCGGGGGCACTGAGGGGAAGCCTGGATCTTCAGGAGTGACGGGGCCCCTGGCCTTGACCTGAAGCCAACCCGAGACTCGGGCCCAGGTAGGGCAGGGCAGGGGCGGCCGCTGGGACAGGTCCAAAGGTGCCATGGGCTTCTCTGGGCCCGAGACTGGGGGGGGGGGCCCGAGCTGCGCCCCCGCCTGCGCTAATGACTTCAGCGGCAGAGACGCAAACAAGCCGCGTAGGAGCCTGACACGCTGTTATTAGGCGGCCTCACTGGGAGCCGAGCCGCTGCCTCCCCCATCTCCATGAGGAGCGGGATCCGGTCGCTCCAGCCGCTGTTCCCATCGACGACTTGGTCTGTGATGGACTCTCCTGTGGTGCAGCCACAAATGTCCCCAGACGTGGTTCAGGTCACCCTGAGAACCAGTCAGCAAGAGACCCCCTAGGAGCAACCCAACTCCCATGGGCACTGGCGTGGCCGGGCTGGGGTCGCACAGGTGGACGGAGCCTTTCCCACGACTTGATATTCCTGGCTGGGCCCTGGTGGCCAGTGTGCAGCAGCAGGCAGTGAGGGTGCCCGGGGGCCACGGACCAGGATCCGGCTGGACTCGCCAAGTCGGCCAGGGACATTGGAGACACCGACTTCTTTGTTCACGAGACCAGAGACACCTGCTGCCAGGCCACGTCCGCCCTTCCCCATGCCCCAGAGGTGGGGTGCGAAGGACTGACCTGACCCTCTGGCTGCAGCAGAGAAGTGGGGACCAGAGGGCAGGACCTTGGCGGGTGGAGACGGTGGCTGGGAGGCAGGCAGTGGCCCTTCATCCTGGGTGGGGCCTGGACCAGCTTTTGAGGCTGGGCAGGGGTAGGGAGGAGCCCAGGGTGGCAGCGGCAGCAAGGCCCCGGGACCTAGGGATGCCCCACCACTGGACTCTGCCTGGTGGCTAAGGGTCTAACCGTGGGGCAGGCTGGGCCCAAGGTGAACATGGCCAGCTCAGTGGGCACCTGGCATCTTCCCACACTTAGGGAAGGCCCTTTAGGGGGCCACATGGTCTTGGAGGCCCCAACGGGGGATGAGGCACTGAGGTGGCATAGGGCAGGCTTGCTGGTGTCCCTAGGGCCACCCCAGGGAGCTGATGTGTGGCAGGAAAGGGACACTACTTCATGCTCTTGGCAGTGATGGGGGAAGGGAGGGGCAGACCCCTGCTGGCTGTGGAGGACAGGGGACCCTGAGCCTTCCCAGCCCAGCCACATGCAGACCCTGGGCCCTCCCCTGGGGACCCGGCTGCCCCAGGACCCACAGCAGCTAAGGCTAAGGAGGAGCATCAGAGCCGCCCAGCAGGGCCAGGTGGAGAGGATGAGAACTAGGAGGGGCAGAGTTGTCCCCACACCTGGGCAAGCGCCGGCTGGACTGCCTGGGCTCCCCGGGAAGAGCTGGACCGCCCAGCGGCAGGAGGGGCTGTGTCTGGCGGTCCAGGCACTTGGCCTGCTTCTGGCTGCAGGGCTGTGAACAGGCAGGTCCTCCTGAGCCTCGAGTCCTGTGAGCCAGTGGGTGGCAGCCACCCTTGGACAAGTCGGTCCTGGCCAGAGTGGGAAGAACAGAAGGCCCTGTCCAGCCTGGAGCCTGGGCAGAGGGAGCCCCACCCTGCTGGGGAGCTTAGCCAACCCTGGGTGGCACTGGGACACAGCAGAGGTGGCGGGCCAGGTGGCAGGCAAAGGGGATGGTGAGGGAATGGGATCCTTGTGGTCCTGAGAGGCCTCAGTGGCCCGTGACTGAACCCAGAGATGGACGGCTGGGGCCTGAGGCCAGAGGGAGGCCACGGCACAGCAGCGGGTCCACGGAGACAGGCAGCAGACTCCGGGGAGCAATGTGGCTCGCCTGCCTGGACCGGTGGGGGCTGTGGGGGGACAGGCCAGGCAGCAGAGGGCTGCCAGGGAGGCCAGGGCTCCTGTTCCTGCTGGCTGCCCTGCTGCCCTGGGCACCCTTGTGCCAGGGGCTTTTGCTGTGCTGCGAGGCCAGGACTGCCCTGCCTGCCTCCTCTGGAGACCCTGGCGTGTGCGGGGCCGAGAGGCCATCACCATGCTGAGTCCTGGCCTCCTTCCATGTCTGGAAATCGTGACGCCCAGCCAAGGGCCTCGTCCCCCTGCAGAGCAGCCTCCCGTTCCAGGGGACCACAGCAGAAGCAAGGGAAGGTGAGGGCACCTCTGAGTGGTCAGTGTGAGCCAGAGCCCAGGTGGGTAACTGGGACTCGCCTGGCCCCCAGGAGGCACAGCTCCCCTGGCAGGAGGGACAGAGCTCCAGCCGTCCAGCTGTGGCACGGAGGCGCCAACACACCTCACAGGCGTGGGACGTGGTGAGCCAGGGCAGGTCTCAGCGGTAGCGGGCAGGAGCACACAGCCCGAGCCCCCAGCTGTCCGCATCCCAGGCGCTGCCCGCACTGTGCCCAGCTGGTCCCATGTGCCCAGCTGGCCTGGGGCTGGGGTGTGGCAGGGAGGAGAAGGTCTGGCCTGGCCCCGCCAGGACACCAGCCCCGCCCCACCTCCTGCGAGTTACGACCCTCTTCGGGCAGCTGACACGGCCACACGGCTTTGGTGAGTACGTCAGAGTGTTTTAAAGAGGATCAGTGCTCTGGGGCTGGGGTGCGGGCAGGGGCGCAGGGCTGGGCCCGGCCTGGTCCGGGGGTCCTCCTGGGTGAAGGCCGGGGCTCACGGCGCTCCCTCTCCAGGAAGCAGCAGGTCCCAGCCCACGTCCAGCCTGGGGCTCCAGGGCTCACAAGGCAGCAACCAGGAGGGCACTCACCACTTGAGGAAGACCATCCCAGCCAGGACCGCATAGCCCAGCACCAGGAAGAGGACCTTGAGCAGGCGGTCATTCCTGTCCTCCAGCTCCCTAGCCAGGATCTCCAAGAAGGTGACGAATAGGAAGGTGCCACCTGCCAGGCCTTGCAGCAGCACTGAGGCCACGCTGCTGGGCACACCCCGAGCGCTCTCGATGCCCAGGCCGATGCTGATGCCCAGGGGGATCATGATGCTCACGGCGACCGCCAGCTTGGCTGCATCCCTCAGGGGCATGGCACTCCTGGCCATGCTGATGCCCAGGGCCACTGCCACCAGCGTCTCGTGGACAGCCACGCCCACGAACAGGCTCACCACCTTCTCCCCCTCCTCCTGCAGGCCGAGCGCCAGGCCCTCGAAGATGGAGTGGGCGGCCAGGGCGAAGGCCAGGCTGAGCAGGCGCAGCGGCCCGGAGCGCGACAGCTCGCGCACGCTCAGGCCGGCGCCGTGGGCGTGGCCGCGCGCGCCCCCCATGAAGGGGCTCTCGTACTCGGAGTCGCTGCCCACGTCGGAGCCCGCATTGAAGGTCTCCAGGTCGATGAAGGACGGCTTCTCCTTACGAAAGGTCAGCACCAGCTGCTCCAGGAACACGGTCAGGAAGAAGCCCAGCAGCAGGAGGGTCTCAGCCAGCGGGTAGTCAGTGCTGATGTGCCCGAGACTCAGCACCCTCTGCAGCTGCAGTGGGGACACGCGAGGGAAAGGCTGTCAGGGCGGCAGTGGCGGGGCACAGGGTCACGTCATGCTCAGTGTGAGCCCAGAGGGCAGCTCCGGTGGATGCCCTGGGCTCCGACCCCAGGCCCGCAGCTCAGCGAGGGGAGGCGCTCAACGTGCTGGACCTAAAGACCCACCCCTGTTATCAGGCCGCCCGAGGGCCTCACGTGCATGGAGCACCTCAGGGGGCTGAACCGTGTCCCTGAGAGACACGTCACCAGGAACCACACACCGTGGCCTCATCTGGAGGAAGGGTCTTGCGAATGCAACTCAAGTGTCACGGCTGAACCCCACCCCAGGGCCTCAAAATGCAAACCTATCTGCAGAGGAGGCTTCAAAAAGGTGACATGATCATCAGGTGGGACCTGACCCACAGGCCTGGTGTCCTTGTGCAGAGACAGATGCCAGGTGCCCATGCACATGGAGTCCACGGGAAGAGGCAGGCCACCAGGGAGGGACACGGCAGGGCAGGCAGGCCACCAGGGAGCCACTCCCCAGCCCTTTTTATTTTGACACAGGGTCTCGCTACATTGCTGAGGCTGGCCTCTGACTTTGATCCTTCTGCCTCAGCCTCCAGAGCTGCGGGGATGACAGGTGTGGCCCCCGTGTGCCCGGGGCTGTGTGGAGCTGGCCTCCCCAGTGGGCAGTTGGGAAGCTCTGCTTCTGGAGCCTGTGCCCGACCCAGGGACCTTCAGCTGGCACTGCCTGCAGGACTTCCCAGACTGTCCACACGTGGCCAGGGGGAGTGACGTGTGGCTGGAGTCTGGTCCTGTCCCCTGGAACCTGAGCTGCAGCCAGCGGCTGTGGGCCCAGGCCTCTCTGGAAGTGCACCCGAGCGCCCGCCACCCCCAGGGCAGGACCGTGCCGTCCACTCCCCCTTCGGGTCCTCACCTCCCTGGCATTTCACGGTGCTCCACCTACACCAGGTGCCCTGCAGAGACTCTGCTTCTGTCCCCTCCACGTGCACCCTGAACCTGGCCTCCCCCTCGGGCCTGCTCTCAGCTCCTCAGTGAGGTCCATCCAGCCCTCTGCCTGGGACAGCCACCACAGTGAGCACCTCACTGGGGGACGCTGGATGCAGGCTGCCTGACTCGCCCGGCTGACCACACCCCAAAAGGACGTGCGGACGTGCCAGGGACACCCTCGCAGCCTCAGGCACCTCCAGGTACCATGCCACATGCTCTGATCCCCAGCCAGTTGCTCTTGGAGCCCCCCAGGTGACGCCCGACAGTAAAGGCCCTGGCCCGGGTCCCTCGCCCCCTTGCTCTCTGCCCCAGTGGGGCCTGCAGGGTGTCCTGCCACAGCCCCGGCCTGGAACTGGTGAACTGCCGGTTCCTCCACTCCCTCCCACGGGTCAGAGCTGACCACATGCCGAGCCCCGAGCTCCTGGCTCCCAAGGGCCACAGGAGTACAGACGCTCCTGTGAGAGGGACACCCCACAGGGTGGACGCCAGGCCTCAGGCTGTCTGCCAGGACGAGGTGCTGTGGAAGGCACCCTGTGGACACTGGCCACCCTCTGGGAGTCGGCAGGCAGGGCCAGCTATGGCCACTCTCCGAGGCCACGAGGCCCAGTGCAGGGAGCCCCACCTCCCACCCCCACTATCATTTCATCACGGGACACAGGTCCTCACCTGCCAGGTGTCTACCCCCAGGGGACACGTGGCCACGAGGTCTGGGGACAGTTTTGAGTGTCATAATTAGAATGGGAGCATTTAGGGCAGGATCCTTCTCTGTGGCAAGCCACCCCAGGCCTGCAGGGTGCTCAGCACTGCCCACTCCAGGCCAGGGCACCCCGAGTTGGGACGGCCACCTGTGTCCCTAGTATGGCCCGGTTACCCCAGGGACAGATGGCCCAGAAGAGAACCTTGCTGCAGTGGAGACGGTTTCCATAGAGAAGCCACCTCACCTGCTCCCTGAACAGCCACCAGAGGCTTCTGCGAGCCTCTCCTGGGGACATGGTGGCTCACGGGGACCACTGGCTGCTCCCAGGGGCTGAGCACGGATCCAAAGGACGTGCAGGAGGCGGGGGCCTGCTCTGTGGCGGGCCGGGCTGGGAACTCCGCGTGCTGAGGGGGCACGGCCCTGAGCAGGCAAGTGCGGAGGCCAGGAGGACCCCAGAGGCCGCCGGTGCTGCAGGAGGATGGGCCAGAGGGGACAGGAGGCCACCCACAGACGTCCAGGCCTGAGGCAGGGTGGCCGGGTGACGTGGGCATGAGGAGAAAGTGCAGATCTCAAGAGACGCCTCAGTCACCCTCTCAGGGGCACAGCCGTGCCTGGTGCCCAGAGGACAGCCTCCTGGCCAAGGACACTGAATGGCACCGTGCGGCTCTAACGGCGGCTGGCCCTCTGCTTAGTCTGCAGCCGCGGGTGGTGGCAGTCCCATCCCCTGGCAGCCATGACTGAGGTCCCAGGACCACACTGGCTGCTGGTGGGGTGGCCTGGGCTGGGGCCTCCCTCAGATCCTCACTGCCCCGCTGCCCACGCCTGGCCCTCAGTCCCTGAGGCTGGCAGGAGGGTTGGCACTGTCCCAGGCCGGCCAGGTCCACCCCGCTTACTTGCCTTTTGATGACCTCCGTGTCACCTGAGCCACGGGCCTCAGCAGTCACGAAATCCCTCCAGCCGGAGAACGCGGCCGCAGGAGCAACGGCCCTCCTTCCCGGCCCCACCTGCGTACCAGGCAGGGGGCACGTGTACCCAGGGCTGGCATCTAGGGCCGTCTGAGAATGCCACCCTTGCACTCACGGGCTCGAAGGGACAGCCCAGCTCCAGGGACACTGGGAGGGGCTGCTGTGCTTTCATGGAGGAAGAACAAGAAGTCCAGGATGTCCACCAGGCCCTGCCCACACTGGCCCAGGGAGAAAGAGTAGCTCACCTGAGGTCACCAGGCAGGCATGGCCAGGCCACCCAGCTGCGGCCCCCGGAGGGGCTTGAACCCTGGGACCCCGAAGGAGTGCTCAAGGAATGGGCCACTGCAGGGCCACCAGGTTGGGTGTCATGGCAGACAGACCCTGAGACCGTCCCCAGTGACCCAGCCCCCTGAGTGGCGGGGGCTGGCCCTCGCCTCCCACCAGCAGGGGAGAAGGTGGCCACACTGTCACTGCTTGCATGAGCCACAGCTGGAGACTCGGGGCAGAGCCCAGCGCTCTCAGCCTGCAGCAGAGCACATGGGCAAGGGCCCGGGGGCCACTTCCAGGAAACCAGGGTGAGAAACTCAGGTCCCCAGGCTGATGGCAGCCACAGGCGCCTGTAGGTGGATTCCCTCCAGGACACGTCCCCACTGCTACCCTGTGTGGGGAGCCACACTGAATAACCGCACCTTCCAGTCCCGATGCCTGATTCTGACCAAGCACTGCATCCGCCGTGGCTCGGGCGGTCCAGCTCGGGTAGGAAGGGCTCTTCCTTGTGCCCCCAGGGTTGATTACACTCACCTGTCCCTGGTAACCCTGCCCTTTTTTGGACAGAACTTTCTAAGAACAAGAGCCCCCCAGTAAAAGCCCCTTCCGACCCTGCCCGCTCTCTCGCCAGCCTCCCCTGCCTTCTCGGGCTCTTGCTCTCTGGGAGCCGGGGGCCGAGGCCGGAGAAGCCGTCCTGAAGCTTGTTTAAAGGTAACTTGTGTCCGTGTTGTATTTGGTGTCCCCGGAAATTCACACGAGCGACCTTAAGTTCAGCTGCCCATGCAGGTCGGGGGCAGCAACCCTGGGTGACCCTGAAGCAGAGGACAGTGAGGCTGTGTCCAGACTCCTGACCACAGAGACTGAGAGACAACAGCATCTGTGGCCTGAAGACACAGGTCTGTTGTGACCTGCCACACAGCAACAGCTGACAGACGCAGGAGCAGGAGAACAGCCACACTCGGTTCAGGACGGAGCATCATGCTGCCTGGAGTGGGCAGAGGGTCTGGATACTCACCTCCCA